GCTCTTCAAGTAGAATAAGTAATGGAATGCCACAATGGCAGTTTGGACAATAATATTTTAGAACAAAAATTCAAATATTTACCATCTGAATGTTAACATATCATAAAACAAATGTATAAATTTGAAAATATTCAAAAATTATAACATATAAATAGAATGAAATAAAGGAACACACAAAAGTTAAATCAATGAATACAAAATAAAACATTAAAATTAATTACAGACAAAATACCATTAACCAATGAACATACATCTATTAAATCAAATAATGTAAACAGTCCATGCTGTGGCTGTCACAAGGCTTTGCCTAATTTATTAGAAAGTATACAAAAAAAGGACCTCCAAACTGCCAACAGAGAGTTAATGTCCATATAATTGATAGAATGTCCTGTACAAGTTGTCTTATAAATATGAAATGCTTCTGCATACTGTATGTGTTGTCAAGTCCCTATTTTTTTGGACAATTCAAAATTTTTTGCTGCATTTTCAAGGTTATTTGAGTGTGTTTGTTATATTTGCATGGCAGCTGTGAATTAGTTTTAATGAAAATAGTTATTCTAAAATAAAATATTGAAGAATATTTCAAAAATTATGTTAAATTGAAACTCTATCATATAAAATAAAATTTTGTTACATTTTTCTAACATTTTTTAAACTGGAATCATGCAGTTCAAGTACCATGTAAATTGCAGGTTAGATGTAGTTGAAACAATCTATATATCAATTTTAGTGTTTGATGCTGAAACATTTTTTCATTTTGTAAAAGGATTTCTTTATAAGTACAGTTGTTTTATGTTGGTGAATACTTATATATAGTTGTATAGGAATGATTAAATGAGTTGTTGAATAATTTAATCAACTATTTTTTTTTTTCATAAAATTTCAAAAATGCTTTTGAAATTTTTTTGAGGACGTCATTTGAGAATACTGTTGACTTAGATAACATCAGAAATTTACTAAGTATAAAATACAAGGGGGACCCAAACAAAACCGAACTGAGAGTGCGCTGCCATTCGTAGATGTAGTAGAGAGTTCTCCCGCTAGATGGGGTTAGTAAGACCTTCACAAAACAGCTGTGCAGATGGCGTCAGTTTGTAGGTTTACGTTTGCGCGTAGTGTTATTTGTCTTACTATTAGATGTAGTAGAGAGTTCTCCCGCTAGATGGGGTTAGTAAGACCTTCACAAAACAGCTGTGCAGATGGCGTCAGTTTGTAGGTTTACGTTTGCGCGTAGTGTTATTTGTCTTACTATTATTTTGTTCTGCCTGTGAAATTCTGGGCGTCCTTCAACATCTCGAAACGATGAAAACGTTGAAAATATCTGCCAAAAAAGTTTTAAGATGTCTCTGAGAGGATGTGTGAAGGAAACGCCTGGAACTTTGGCGATTAGGTGACTGGTTCCTTGATCACAAAATGCCCCCGCGCACATGGCCTTACAAGTGACCCACTATTTGACCTCTCGGGGATGGCCTGTTGTTCCCCACCCTCTGTATTCACCAGATCTAGTCCCTTGTGACTTTTTTTCTGTTTCCAAGAATAAAGAAAAATTTAAAAGGGAAGCGTTTTGATGATGTGGAGGCAGTAAAAACAGCTTTCCTGAGGGCACTGGATGATATCAAGGTTGAAGAGTTCCAGAGATGCTTCAAACAGTGGGGAAAAAGACTTGACAAGTGCATTGCATCTAATGGAGAGTACTTTGAAGGTGACTGAAGGAATTTTGTAAAAAAGTTAATAAAATTTTTATACAAAAAATCCAGTTTTTTGGGGTCCCCCATGTATAATAATGTAATTATCAAACAAAAAGCCAGAGTACTTTATTAGAGTATTAAGTCTAAATAATTTAAGTTGTTATTATGTTGTAATTACTAAAGATAATAATTACAACATACTTCAGTTGCATTAATGACAAGGAAAATACTATCAAGCATATTCGAACTGCTAATTTTAGCTGTAGTTGGAATTACTAAGTTGTTTTTGGCAAGATATATATGATTAGGCTACCATCTCTTATTACATTTAATAATTATAAATAAATAAATTTAATTTTAGAATATTCTGAAAGAAAAGATTGGCTAGAGCTAGACTCAAACTTACAATTTGTTTTTACCATACAGATGTGTTGTCAGTTATGCTACCTAGTGTTGCCACTTTTTCAAAATTGCTGACCTGGACAGTGGTTTGTTCCAACACAAGTCCCTGACTGGTTTGAATTTGAAACCATACAAGGCATGCACAATGTCATTTTACAGCCAAAAACTGAATAATGCACATGCTAGTTTTAAACCAGTTAGGGATTTGTGTTGGAACAAACCTTATATTTGCAAGTTAGAATTTTAAAAGTACATTTTCTGTCACTCTTAGCCCAGGGATAAGTTTGGGCAGGGTTGTGAAGTTAAAGTGTTTAACCGTTAAAATAAAATACAAATAATTTTATAAATTTGTTTTGTTTTATCATAATTTAACAATTTCTACGAAAACTAGACAAATTAATAATCAATCTGGACTGTGAATTTAAAAACCGGCTTGTCTGGGTGAAAACCAGCCTGGTGACGACACTAATGCCACCTAGATCTCCAACCAATCTTCACTTCCAGACTAATTAATTAAATAAATTAACTAATTTAGATATAACCATATCAGTCACTCAATGGCACTAACTTAGTGCCCCTGTCAGTGCCATTGAGTATTAATTAAATATTATAATTGTACATAGATATAATTCATCTTTAAATGAATAATTTCAAAAAAAATTAATTTGTATACTATATATCAGGGGTGGCCAATTTTTGTGTACATAAGATCTACTTTTTGTCTTAAAAATGTGTTGCAATTAACTTGTTGTCGTAGGCATAGTCTAAGTGGCAAGGGGAGGTGTGAAATACATACTATGTTTAGATAGCTAAGAACAGCCACAATTTAATTTAAAACATGAAGAAAAGGTACTTACATTTTAAACAGAAGAAAAATTGAAACTCACCGTTGTCACCACTTCACCCTTCCTTTCTCTACTGTGTCCCAACCTACTCTCTCTATCCCTCTAACTGCCTTTCTTTTTTTTTTGGTTTTATGACCCTTTGTCTACATTTCTTGTTCCCCTTTTACAACTACAGTGGAACCCCGGTTAACGAACTTAATCCGTTTCGCGACTCCGTTTGTTAACCGAATTGTTCGTTAACCGAAGCAATTTTTCCCATAGAAATTAATGCAAATGCAATTAATCCGTTCTAGTCTCCGAAATTTTTGTGATTTTATTTGTAATATACAGTAATTTTCTTTGATGAAAATGTCAGAAAACGTAGTATGTGTCATTACAGCAACAAACATGTAAACTTTGTTTAATAAACTAGCACTGTACATACCTTCGTTTGTTGTAGTTGGTGGCAGAAAAGTGGAGATATACGAACCTTAATGCTTAGAAGGGTAATCCTATCCAAAAAATAACGGGTAGCACTTCAATGAAAGATTCTTCGAGTCGAAGTCTCTTTCGGTAAAAAAAACCCACCAGTGGCTAAGTGGTCTTCGTACCTTAAACACAGGGAGTTCGTTTGTGGGTTCGCACCTCGCTCAGACGGGCTGGCCACGTGGAGTTTTCCGGGTTTTCTCCACGTCTGTAACGCCTAAATAGGGGCCAGTTTCCCTTAAAAACACCTCCCAGAAGGCATTCCCCTAGGCATATCGCCCAAGTGTTGCATTGCCATAACTTAACAAACAAACAAACTCTTTCCGTAAGGAACAAGAAACTGATCTAAAGTTGATTGTCTTACTCTTTTAATCAAAAATTTTCTCAAATGCGATAGCGCGTTGTCATTTTCTATTGCTACTGTGATTTTTTTCTTTCTTGGATGCCATATTGATTAAATATAAAAATCACAAAACTGAAAAAAGAAGCATAGCACAAACACTCGGAAAAGCAATGCTTAACTCGCGCATGCCTAACACCAACTAAAATTTGACACAAAATACCGGTACGTTCGTTATCCGAATTTTGTTCGTTATCCGAGAAAAAATTTTTGCAAAATAAAAGTTCGTTAACCGATTTGGTCGTTAACCAGGACATTCGTTAACCGGGGTTCCACTGTATATGCAAATTGATTTCACATGGACTGACAAAACTGCATCTGAGGGATGGCGCAGAGGTCCAATATCACTACAGTTGTGTTTGTGCATTATGTTCATGCATTGTGTTTGGTTACACATTAAGTCAAGACATTGTGAGTGATCAACTAAAATTGACTTTGTGATTGACTTGTTGGCCACCCCTGCTATATATGTAGCTTAAATAATGCTGTTGTAATATTAGTTATAATTTGGATATTTTTTGATAGAGAGAAAAATTTGATAAAATTGTGTATAGTTTAAGATGAGTATCAGATGATGTGTCCACTCAATTCTCTTGTTCTCTACTATTAAAATATTTCATGTAATAAAATTTAAAATTAATATTTATAAAATTTAACTTTTGAAAAGTCTTTTCATTAAGTTATTTTATCAAGAAGTAACAAAAGATTTATTTTATTACATAAATAAATAAATAAAATTGAAAACACTTTAGACCATTATTAAAAATATAATTTTTAATTTCAGTTCTAGAAATTTAATCATGAGTTAATATTTTAGAAATTAAATTATCATCATTATTTATTTATTAAAATATTTTATTTCCATTTCTAAAAACATTAAAATATATATCTAATAAAGCATCAATATTTTTCTATTTTCAAACTAAAGTATAAATGGTTTGTTTATGAAAATACAATTTAATTTTTCATATTATATTTTTCAGAAAATTAAGGTTAGATGAAAATATTTAGACACATTGAATTTTTTTAATACTTTTAAATATTCCTGTTCATTTAAGCATTTAATATGCTGTTAAAATATGTTGCTTAAGAAGTGAATTTTTTATTTAAAATCTGTTTCAGACTTTAATTTGTATAATTTTATCTTATACATTAATTTTAATAATTATTTGCTTATTTTCAAAATATATATCATGGTTTAATTATTATAAAATATATTTGACAGGTTGTGGTTATGACTGTAACTGTATTGCCGATTAGATTACTTCTTATGCTAATACTTCTTTCATCAGCTTGGTTTCTTGCTGTTGTTGGCTTATTTGGAATTTCTAAAGAAGACATGAAAAGTAAACCAATGAGTGGATGGAGAAGGTATCTTAATATATAATACATAAATTTTTAATATTTAAAACATTTTAAAAATCTAAGCCAAGTATAATTCCATAGCTATGAAAACTCTTATGAACAATAAATAGGTCTGTCAGCATGAATTGTGCAAAACTCTGATATGGTAAAGGATTAAATTAAAATGTAAGGTCAAACATATGAAAAATAATGATTTATGATTATTTTAAATGAATTAGTTGATTCATCTGTCAATTAAACTTAGTTGAAGAAATACTTATTCAATAATTATAATAATTCAAGATATTATATAGTTTTAAATAAATAAAGTTAAATATTTGATACCATACTTAATTTTGATATTAAACTGAAATTTATCATTAAAAATGGTTGATGGTAATTTACATAGTAAAAGTTCATTTAAGACACTTTTCTCAAACTGAGTTAAATAATAATCAAACATTGACAAAAAACCTTTAAAATGCAGCTTTTTATTAACTAATCAAACGTTTTTGGCCATTTGAATGAACTTCCTCAGGAATAAAATTCAAATTATTTTGAACATTTGAATTTTCATATCTGTCTAGTGTGCAAGCCTGTAAATAAAAATACAATATTACAATATGTACGGGTTACAAATCTATATATAAACAATATATAAATATAATATAAGAATAAAATAAATAACTAAATAAAAATAAATAAAAATAAAATAAATACATAAATAAATAACTAAAACAGTAACACAACTGTGCCTAATTCTTTAACCATTCATCCCTTTTCATACTAAAGTATTCAGATTATGCCCACTCTCCATACCACTGAGACTTTACTCAATTCTCTAGAGTTTATTGCTTGTCCTTCCGGATTGGTCTTGTGTATTTGCCATGCTTCTGCATATTTAAGGTGTCTCTTGTCCTGAATCTTTTGTATTATTTTAGCTCAATGGATGAAAACATTCGATTAGTTAATAAAAAGCTGCATTTTAAAGGTTTTTTTGTCAATGTTTGAGTACATTCAAGAATATGAAAAAATTTTTTGTCTTCACAATTTATCTCTCACAACCTAAAATGAAAGATTATCTCTGTAAGTGAAAATTTGTGTTTTTTTTGTTTTTTTTTTGCTTTTACTTTGTTAATGGTGACTGTGAGATGACAGGTTGTGAAAACAATTTTTTTTTTTTTGTATTTTTCAATGCATTTTTATTATGAAATTTATCAATTTATTACATTACAAACAAATGTTGTATAATCTTTCTGAAAATAATACTTCCTGTAAGCGATGATAATCATCAGCCTGTTTATTGATAGATTTACTTTTTATAGATAATTATTATATTGTAGACTTCACACAGACTAATACAAACTAATAGAGTAATTCCCAACTCTGAATTACTACCGTATATTTAATCTGATGTAATAGTCAATAAATGTATTTTGGATTATTCTCTAATTATTTTTTAACTTCTTGCTTTACTTCTTTTTAATTAAAATAATTTTGATTTTTACTAATGCTATCTAATTTAAATATACAATCTTTTATTTAACTTTTTCATATTATTTTTATGCTTTGTTTCCAGTTCTTTCCACAAACTTTTAATTATTTTTGTTTGTTTATATTATGTTTACAGTTTATACTATGGTACTATAATATTATATCATACTGCCATATAGAAAGAAAAGAGAACACAAACATTCATTACTGTAGTAACATTTTCAACTAAAAACTTACTTTTGCATTATTACCTCATAATTTCACTGATAAAAGTTCTGTTGGTTCTGTTTTTATGTTTGTAATAAATGTAATAAAATTATATTAAATTTTTTCTTGATGATGATGTGTACTTAAAAAATGTTTTATAGTTTCTATTGAAAAGTAATTATGTTTAGCATTGATGGCTGATGCTAGTTTTTAGTATATACAGTCTTAACAGTAATATCCTTAGTGTTCAAATAGCATCACAACATCCAAAAAACTAGCATATAAATACTAAAATTTACTCATACTAATGTTTTCATTTGTTCACAATGAACATTATCAGGCATCATTCAATGAAAATCAAACAGAACATCTTTTAAACATTTAAACATAATCAAAATACAAATATTGAGATGTACAATCATGTGCAATTACATAGATAGATAAAATTTAATTTATAATAAAAATAGCCATAAAACATTTATTCCCTTTTTTAAACAAATGAAAACATAAGTATCAGTAAATTCTAGTATTTATTTGCTGACTTTTTGGTGTTTATAGTGTTGTTTGTATTAAGTATCAATATGACAAGTTTCTGCTAAGGTAAATCATTCGCTACATTAAATTTAAAATCATATAAGAAATATACCATATGAGCAAGGTTGAATTTAGGTTTGATATGAATTTAAGTTGATGAATTTAGGTTGATTATATGAATTTAGGTTGATGCCAAATATAAATGCTGGTTCATACTTCATGAGAAAGGAAAAGAGAAGAGAAAAGACACTGAATAGTGTGCAACACCATACATTACTAGTGACCTACTTCGGTTTTCTGTTGTTTAGCAAGAAAAGTTGACAGAATTCCATTTTTCTCTTTACTGATAGCTCACACATTTGCATCCTTTAACACAGAAACTGATAAAATTGAAATGATTACAATTAAAACAGAATTATCTTTGAAGAATCATGCTTATCATTTATACAGGGTGTATCAGAATGACAGTTTAAAAATTTGGGGGATTGTAGAGGATGAAATTTTGAACGTTTAAATAATATTTTTAATATTTAAAACATTTTAAAAATCTAAGCCAAGTATAATTCCATAGCTATGAAAACTCTTATGAACAATAAATAGGTCTGTCAGCATGAATTGTGCAAAACTCTGATATGGTAAAGGATTAAATTAAAATGTAAGGTCAAACATATGAAAAATAATGATTTATGATTATTTTAAATGAATTAGTTGATTCATCTGTCAATTAAACTTAGTTGAAGAAATACTTATTCAATAATTATAATAATTCAAGATATTATATAGTTTTAAATAAATAAAGTTAAATATTTGATACCATACTTAATTTTGATATTAAACTGAAATTTATCATTAAAAATGGTTGATGGTAATTTACATAGTAAAAGTTCATTTAAGACACTTTTCTCAAACTGAGTTAAATAATAATCAAACATTGACAAAAAACCTTTAAAATGCAGCTTTTTATTAACTAATCAAACGTTTTTGGCCATTTGAATGAACTTCCTCAGGAATAAAATTCAAATTATTTTGAACATTTGAATTTTCATATCTGTCTAGTGTGCAAGCCTGTAAATAAAAATACAATATTACAATATGTACGGGTTACAAATCTATATATAAACAATATATAAATATAATATAAGAGTAAAANTTAAAATTTAAAATTAAAATACAATAATTTTATTTTGATTTTATAAATTTCAGATATTATCTGAAACCTTTCATTTGTTCAGTGTTACGTCTCATGTTTCTTTTGGGCGGATGGCATTGGATAACTATCAAAGGAAAACAAGCTTCTGCTAAAGAAGCACCTATTATTACCTTAGCACCTCATTCCAGTGTATTTGATGTTTTACCAGTAATTTTGTTAGGTGGCCCATCAGTAGTTGCAAAAGCTGAAACTGAACAGACTCCATTTTTTGGAAGTAAGTATGATATCATTTTTAACAAGAATACCATTTTGACTTTGTACCATATTTAAGATATTAAGAAAACTGCTAAATTCAGGAAACAAAACAAATTTTTACTCAGAAATGTTTTCATTCTTTTAAAAGAATATTATCAGCTTTGAAATTACAAAGTTCATTAGAATAAATTTGAAATTTTTTAAATTTAAAAGACAAGAAAATTATAATTATACTAAAAATTAATAAAAAAATAAATTAAAATATGAAATATGTAAAAAGAATTAAATAGTTAACAAACACATCTTTCCATGTATTGATGCCACTTTTGGTAGAAGTGGCATCAAGAAAGGGTTTTTTGAATAAAAGAAAAAAGACAAAAGATACCACTCTTTTGCCTTAGTGAGTAGATGAATTGCCACTCTTGATGCTTATGATTATAATTTTTTTATTTAAAAAACCTTTATAACTTTATCTGGAAGCAGAATCAATACATAGGGAGCTATATTTGTTAAGGTCATATAGTGTGGGTGGCTGGGAGTCTGCATTTAACATTAAATTGTTATACTAGCAGATGAGTTCGGCATTGCTTGGGCAAAAGATAACAACAGCAAAGATTAAGATTATTAGATTATTTTGTACTTCTAACCCTTCTATTATATTAGATTATAGTATTTGATTTATATAACTACAAAGGGTAACTTACTTAAAGGTTTATCACACCAAGTGACCAATCTAACACATTTTAAAAATTTTCTAAATTGTGTACATTAAAGGAAGAAAATTTTAAAAACGTGTTAGATTGGTCACTTGGTGTGGTAAACCCTTATGTAAGTTAACCTTTGTAGTTATAAAAAATCAAATACTATATAATATAACAAACAGTAAAACAAAAAGCATATAAAGAGTTTGGTTATTTCAGCCTACAGTTGTCATATTTAGTGCGATACTCAGATGGTACGAAATGGCACAATTTCATTGGTCAAGTAGACAGCAATTGAAAATATAACTGAAAATTTTTAACATATCATATTTTTTCCTAATGTTAACTCTAAGAAACTGTACCATTCACAGCTGAATATCAAATGGTAATCTGCCAATGAATCAAATTTTGCAAAAGAACAGACTAAATATTTAAACTTAGTACCCTCGAAAACCACTTAAAACATAAATTCTTTATTATATCAAAAATTTTTCTAAGTTATAGTGTATATAATATTTAACATCTATTAAAGGTTTATACTAACTGGTTCTTTGTGTTTTCACTATAATATTAAATTTTGTTGTTTTATTATCTTCTGTTTTCAATTTTTTAATGTCTTAATCTGTTATTATTTGCAAATTTTTTAAATTTGTCTAATTCTGTATCCAATAACTTTAACAAATTTTTTATACAAAGTTCAAAAAATTGAAAAATCAGTAAAATAATAGCAGATGAATACATTAAAAAATTGAAAACAGAGATAATAGAACACCAAAATTTAATATTAGCGTGAAAACACATAAAGGTCTATACTTAACTGGTTCTTTAATTGCTAACAGGAAAAGTATGATGTTCAGGGGCAAGACCACCATTAAAAGAATTGAGAACATTATGATGAAAAATTGCATCCCAGCATTGTGATGATGGCACAATAAATAATTGCTTGTTAGAATTAGTTTGATTTATTTAGTTATGGCAATGCGACACACAAGCAATCTGCCAAGGGGTGCATCCCATGAAGACTTTTATGGGAAGCTGGATCCTATTTAGGTGTTAGTAACATGAAGTAAATGCAGAAAACTCCACATGGCCAGCCTGTTGGCTATGTCATAAACCCATAAGTAACTAACTACCAATGTTCAGTGGTTTTATCTACTTTGCTACTGGAGGGCACTTATTAGAATTAAGAAAGTACTGTTCAGAAATGAAAAACCCAAGTCATTAGATGTGGAAAATGAAATACTTATATACTTACTACAGACTTTTATTGCAGGGTAATACTTTCTATTCCACGCAGGCAAGTGCTATATGCTACCTGTTGCAGTAAAGCAGTGGTTTTCAACTGGGGTCCATGTAACGTTACTAGGGGTCCACAGAAAAAAATACCGAATTGGGGTTCACAGTTATATTTTAGTGATCTATAGCAGCAGTCGGCAACCTTTCTGACCTCATGGACCACTAAAGTCACAATTTTGAATCCCGCAGACCATTATCATGAATTTTTTTTAGACTATACAAAATCTGTAGAATAATGATCATAAAAGTTCAATTTTACTATATTAATATGAAACTCACATGTTTAATTATAACAAATTAATGCAAGCCTAAAGTTCATTGCTGCTTGTTTGAAACAAGTTTATGGATTCTTTGTGCTTTTCTACAATCACACTCCCAATATTGTTTATTGTTCATTATTTATTGATAATAGTCACTTCGTTTTTGGTTTTAGATTTGAATAAAAAACCCCAATGAGTGAGAAAAGCAACTAAGCATTTTGCATTTCTTTCGTAATACTTTGTGTAACCTTCGGTTGATCAATGTTCAAATTTCTCCATGGACCATCCAAATTTTCTCGCATACCACCAGTTGCTGACCGTTGGTCTATAGGATATGAGAATTAAATTTCTACAGTATATATATTGTCAATTTCTATATTACTTATTTCTTCCATAAGGGTTAAAATATAAATTGTTTAACATATTGAATACATATACAACATATATATCTCATTGACAAAGGTCAAAGAGAGATTATAAAGCTGGAGTTTGTTAGGAGAATCTTATACTGTCAGTGTCATGTCACTTGACAGTGACATTTCTGAATGTTTTGTGTCAGTTTATTCCAGATTGAACAGTTTCCTTGTTTGACCTTGATTAGCAGTGATTTGCACTATGATGACATTGCATTGTATGTTGAATATTTGGAAAATTTGCATGAAAATATGCAAACTTGGATTAGTGACTTACTCTTGATGGATATACCAACATGGGTGGTAATTCCTTTTGAAGTTAATGCTGCCAACATAGACATTTCTTTACAGGAAACCCTCATTGAATTTCAGAGTGATGAATTATTGCATGCAAAATTCAAAGATGGGAAGCATGATATATGGAAAACAAATGACACTGCTAAGAAGTAACCACTACTCTGGGATAAAGCACAGCTCTATGTTGTAGCTTTTCCATCATCATACCTAGTTGAATTAGGATTTAGTCATGTCTTTAACTTATTATCAAAAGCTCATAATAGACTCGACATTGTGAAAAAGAGTGATCTTCGACTATCATGACCTCGATAGAGCCAAATATAAACAGACTCGCTGAGCAGCATCAAACACAGGGATCTCATTGAATAAACCTGCATTTTTTTCCTCCATTACTTGCTTAGGCCTATCTTAAAATGGTTTATTTTTAATTTTTTATTATTGTATATAAATGATCTATAGAACTTAATTGTTTAATATGTTTATTTTGCAATAAATTGACTTTCCTTCAAAATAAGGTATAATCATTTACTATTTCTTTTATTTTTGATATAATGCCTTTCTTTCTTTTATTAGTGAAAAATATAAGGGTTTTTTTTTCTGTGCAATGTCTATGGGGGTCAACCAAAAAAAAATTAAGATGAAAAGGCGTCCATGGATAAAAAAAGGTTGAGAACCACTGCAGTAAAGGCATAATGGCACATCTATTTCACGTATCATTGTCACAGCAATTAAATGAATATAATATATACTTTTTAAAATTATTTTTTATATCATTTTCAATAACTTTATTTGAAATGATATTAGTATTTAATACTATTTGTTTATTATTTACAAATGTTATAGAAAACTTAACATTTGAAAATAAAAAAATTAGGAAAACATGTAATTAAAGAGTTATATTGGCTTTGTATAAGATTTTAAAGAATACAAAAGTTTTCGGAAATAGGCCATAATATAATAAAATAATAGAAGAAAGCACTTTGTTAAGATGATAAAAAATATATATGAAGTCTAAACAGAAATGTTTGTTGATTTATGTCCCTATTATTTAAATATTATCTATTTTGCTTTGAACTAGCTACTTTCTGGACATAGGTGTATTAAAAATATGATTGGATTGGTGTATAATATTTAAATAGTGATAGTTTCATTATTTTAATTATGTAAACTGAATTACGAGATGGTTATTGACTGTTTTCTAGATGCATTGATTAATGTTAAATGCAGCATTATGGAATATACAATTATATTAGAAATTAATATTTGTTGAATAAAGTCTTCATTATTAAAATTAAATATTTTATTTTAGAATTGATAAATTATACTCAACCAGTTTATGTACGAAGGAATGATCCAATGTCTCGTCAAAATACTATAAAAGAAATTCGGAAACGAGCTGAATCTGAAGATGATTGGGAACAAATTGTAATTTTTCCTGAAGGAACATGCACTAACAGACAATGCTTAATTTCTTTTAAGCCAGGTAAATAATGCAGAATATTATCAAGATTACTTAAATAATTATTTGTATATGTGTGAGGTTTTATGGTGTGGATGCATAACGTATGTATATGTAATGTAATTCTTTGTAAATTGTTTTTAGGTGCATTTTATCCAGGTGTACCAGTTCAACCAGTTTGCATTAGATATCCTAATAAATTGGTAATGTTTATATCATATTTTCATTATATATAAAATATTAACAGAATTTTAAAATGTAGAGTGTTACCAAAATTTTATATTTGATAAATACAATTGTAAATTGTTTCACATAACTCAATTCAAATAAATAAAATTTTGAAAGAATTAAAATTATTTTAAAATCTTATTTAAAATATGAATTTAAGAATAATTTAAGATTTTTTAAAAATTAACATTTAATTTAAGGTATAAACTGTAAAGAATAAAATAAAACTAAACTCTATTAAATTCCATTAATGAGAATTACTTTTTAATTCAAAAATACAAATTTCTGTTATAAATCACATTGACTATATATTAATAGTGACTTCCATTTATTTTATGAAAGCTTAATAAAAGTTTAAATATGATTTTTTTTTTTTTTTTTTNCAATACAATAATAAAATAAATAATATTGTAACTATTATTTATTCTATTATTTAAACTATAAAAATAATTTTTAAAAAATACATGTTTTAAAATCTAAAAAATTGTCAAAACCAAATTTATGCTTTAAATTTAAAATTAATAAGTCAACAACTAACTACTGGATTACATCAGGCTATTACATCGTGATTATTTTAAATTAATTATTAAATAATTTGTCACTAGAGTTGGCTTTAAGTGCCATCTCTTATTAGATTTAATAATTATAATTAAATTAAATAATTTAGAAAATTCTGGAAGTAAAGAATTGGCCCAGAGTGGGACTTCCACTTACTGTGTGGATGCGTGGCCAGTTACACTACCCAAGACTTTAGTCCCACTCCAGGCCAATTCATTTTTTCCAGAATTTTCTAAATTATTTAATTTAATTATAATTATTAAATCTAATAAGAGATGGCACTTAAAGCCAACTCTAGTGACAAATTATTTAATAATTAATTTAAAATAATCACGATGTAATAGCCTGATGTAATCCAGTAGTTAGTTGTTGACTTATTAATTTTAAATTTAAAGCATAAATTTGGTTTTGACAATTTTTTAGATTTTAAAACATGTATTTTTTAAAAATTATTTTTATAGTTTAAATAATAGAATAAATAATAGTTACAATATTATTTATTTTATTATTGTATTGAGTGAAAGTTATATTTATGTGTGTGTATAATGCAGTATATGTGTTTAGATTTTGATATGTATGTATACAAAGACAAAGGAGAAAAAACTGTTGGAAAGAGTTTGATATTCAAATACTACATTTGCATCATTTGAAATAAAATATTGGATCACTGATATGAATTTATTTATACCTAGCATGCTAATAAGTTCTGGTATAAATATAAACTTTACAACTCAAGTTTATTAAAAAGTAATATTATAACAAACATTTTTTTATAACTACTAGATAATATGGTAATTAACAACCATTTCTAATGTTTACTCTGTATCAAAACATGTTTTGATACAGAGCTTCATTCTTAGTCTCCACTTTTTTATGGTGGTATGGATGCTTTCCATAGGAAAGGCCCAAAAAAAATCCATTTTCACAGTAGGGATGTTTTTGAGAGCCTTGACACTTGTTTGGGATTTAGCATAGACTTTTTTTTAACTATATGGAGAAATCTAATCGGTTCAGGTCAGATTGTGCAACAGGCCATTCTTCCTTTAAATGAAATCTGGAACTTTTTAATCAATCCTGTTTAGTATTGGCACTGTGGATAAAGATCTGAGTCTTGCTGAAAAGTCCAAATTTGATTTTTAAACAGAGTTCAGTTGTTCTGCTACTGCTTGGAGAATCCCTGTCTTATTAATAGTTTCTGGCACTCACCTTAATGTTGTTGATACAAAATTAAGTTCTGCTTTTCCTTGCCAACTAATTCTATCTAGACCATCACACTTTCAGGATTTTGAGCTCTTTGAGACTTCCATACGTACAATAGAGTCTCTTTCACTGATTTGGCATAAACACTGTCATTTTTTGTACTAATTTGAAACATTGTGCTTATGAAACAAAAACTGTCATTTTTGTTTGTTAAATCTTTTCTTTGTAATAAAAATTTTTCATCTATGAAGAGAATATTTTTACATTTCTGTATCTCTGTGAAAGGCAACAACAGCAAATCAGCTTTTTCTTTTGAACCTGTGTAAACACATGGTAGATACCATGCTTTAATTAAGCTTGATCTTTTTTCAGTGCTAGATGAATTGTTTGTCTTGTCTGTAATGCCAATTTTCTTTAGCATTGGCCATTGTTCTTCAAAGCCTTAGGTATTCCTGAAGTTCTTTTTATCCTTTTGACAACCACTTCTTAGTCAGTACAGTCGACCCCCCCTATAATTACGGTCCCTATAATTACGATTCCTATAAAACTGCGAAAAAATTGTGACGGTATCTGTAAAAAAAGGTAAAAAACTCCTATAATTACGTAAAACGTCATTGGGCAGCCGAACTACTTTCCCGCTGTCCGAAGCGCCACGCTACGGAGAGATTTCTATCGTCTGGACAGTATTATATAAATTATATATAAATTAGGTACTGTACATATAATTATATATTAATTATATATAAATTAGGTACTGTATATATAATTATATATTAACTTATTGTAACTTTGTTATAATTAAATATATAATTTCCGCCGTCTAGCGTGGCGCCACGCTACGGAGATTTTTACGCTAACTATCGTCTGTCAGTATGTAAATTAGGTACCGTAAGTCTAATACAGTACTGTAATTTTATACATTTCTTGTGAAAGAAACATTTCTTATTCAACGGCGATTAAAATTATTTATATTAATGATGTCTCCGAAGTTCTACGAAGTTTTCACAGAAAAATAAGTTGTTAGAAATCGGCCGCTCTTTGCTGAGCTGTTCCGCGACGAAAACAATGTTGAGCAATGGCAATGTCGAATGGTGACACTCGGTAAGTAATCCTACAATTTTTTGTTTATAGCGTAGTTTATACGGATTATTCCCAAAAAATATATACGTATTTTGGAAATGTTGAGTCGGATTAGTCTAGAATCGATTAATTTTATGGAAGAAAACTTTTCAATCAGCCGTAGTCCGTAAACTTGACACGTGTCGGGCTGTGATTGGAAGGACTCATAAGAAATCGGATTCCTAAAGAAAGGAACGTATATATGATCTTATAGGGGGGGCGACTGTACTCAATACTGTTACTTTCCTAGTTTCCTGTTGTTACCTCTTAATAGTATGGTATGCAAATTAATTATCTGAGCACTATAAATAGCTCTTTTTAGAACTTATCACATACTGTGGAGAACTCACTCAGAGACTGCTGAGCATTAAGTATTTATTTGTAACCACTGTATGCATTTCGGCCAGACAAGCTGTCCCTCTTCAGCCATTACAATCACTAAATTACAAGCATGTAGTCCATAATTGTAAATCCCTATATTTTGTAGGAACAACTTTCCATTAACCATTTGGTTACACAATATATAAAAAATTTTAGTTTATTGCCCTTTAATCATAGTTATATAGTTGTTTACTGTACAGAGATTATTTTTAAAACCAACCCACTAACCTATGGTTAGACTTTCCCATTATTTGTATGGTGTTTTTGGTTGGAATTAATCTGTTATTTTCTAATCACTATAAATAGCTCATGTAATATATGTCGTAAAAAGAGCTATTTATAGTGCTCAGATAATTAGTTAATAATAATATTAATGGTAAGCAAAGTTTCTTGTACCATTCTCAGGATTTAGCTGATAGAAAATTTTTGATTTTTTGATTCCTTAAAGAAAAAGAAAAAGCTGCAGAATAGTCTCCACCTTAAAAACTAGTTATAAACCTATCCTCTTTTTATACAGTGTATTTTTACATGATTTTGAAATAATGCAGTTGACAAAAGAAAAACTAATCTTCAATTTACATGGGCAATTTTTTTTTACACAGGAAAAAAGTTTATTTGAAAACTTTTTAATTTAACTTTTTGTGAAAATTGAATTGTTAAAAAAGTTTCTCTTTGTTGAAATCAAAAGTTCATTTATCTTTTTTAAGCACAATATAGTACTGTGTGAACTGTACATACATCAGAGAATATTGCATGTTAATTTTATATTTCATATGCTACCTTGTATTTACTATATTTACATGCAAATAATGTTAATGATAAATGATGTTACAATAAAAAAGCTAGTGTTTCTTTTGTAAATTGCTTATTTTTTCATTCCATTGAAGTTGTGGATCTTATCAAGCATTTTCTACAGGTTGCATGTACTGTACTTTTTTATGTGATTTTTTTTGTTTTATATGGCTTTCTTTGCTTATTTTTTCATTCCATTGAAGTTGTGGATCTTATCAAGCATTTTCTACAGGTTGCATGTACTGTACTTTTTTATGTGATTTTTTTTGTTTTATATGGCTTTCTTTGGAATGTATCCACCACACATAAAGAGGGATAGGTATACTTAAGAAATCAGACACCAATACTAGTTAAAAGACTTTGATGAGTTTACTGAATATTAACATTTCCATCCATTTAAAATGTTTAGTGTTTAAACTTGTTGAAGTCTTTTAACTATTTGTGTCTAAGTGAGTTTTTATCAATCTGCAGAGTTGTCACAGTTTCTTTATAGGACTTTCATGTCTAACAGAACAAAGATTGCAACTTACTTTACATAGAATTTGAAAAATACAGCATATACATACATGATGCATGAAAAACTAAGACAAAATTTGTATCAGAACTTATTAGCATATGGGGTATATAAATTTAATCATCATTTTTAAACTAAATCTTATAATATTTTAGGACACGATGACATGGACATGGGAAGGACCTGGAGCGTAAGTATGCCAAAATTTCTAGTTTTATTTTGGATTATTTTAATTTTGCTTGATAACAATACAATTCTTATTTTATAAGTTACTTAATGCTTTATGTTCCAATTGTATTTGTTACAATAGTTTTAACAAGCAATTTTTATGAAAATCGAACTATCATAATTATGTAATCCTTAATAAATGATTTTTTTTCACAATATGTTTATAATATAGAAACTATTGCTATTTTGCTCAAATGTTATATTAATATTAAATACATTTAAACAACAACTTATATTAACGTAATATATAATATAATGTATATTATTTATATTTATGTATTTTAATATTTATTTAGTTAAATATGTTACAGCATATGTTAAACATATATGTATATATATATGTTTAATATATGCTGTAACATATTTATATATTAATATATGCTGTTATATATATATATATAATATATTTATCCACTAAATGTTAAAGTAATATGTTTTATAACAGTCAGTTTCTTGAATTTTTGAAAGTCCCAAAAGTTATTTGGGGCAAAATTAGAAGTATAGTATGGTGGTAATCTCATTCTCCATTCTACTCACACCTAATTTTGAGATGTTTGGGACAAACACTGTGTTGTGTTAGTCCAAAACATCTTACATCTCACAACAGTAAGTGGCCTTGAATTATCATGATGCAAATTGAAGCCATGATTCCACTGTGGTCACTTTTTCTGAAAATGCTGTCACAAGTGGCATAAGACATTTGAGTAATAAAGGCCATTTATGATATTACCACATTCCAGAAATGCTAGTGAACAATGCCCTTATGATTAAAGAATACAATATTCATTACTTTATCAGTCAACTTAACAGTTTTTGCTTTCTTTAGAGATGGTGAAGAGGGTTGTCTTCATTCACTGCTTTTTTTTTATGATGAGATCATAATAGTACAGCTATGCTTCATTATATGCATCTACTGTGATGATGGTTTTTCAGAAAGTTTTTCACTTTGTAAGCAAAATCTAGCTTTTAGCTCCATACACATCATTCAATGTTGCATTTATTTAGGAGTCAACAGTTTTGGAATTCAGTGAGTACAAATTCAAGTAAGGCCTAAATGTGTACTTATGTTTGATTACATAATTGCATGCTTTATGTAGGGAATGCTTAGAATCAGTTGCAGTTGCTGTAATGATGCTCTACTGTCTTCCTTGATGATGATTGCAGACTTTTGAATTATGATTTCTGTTATTGATGTTGAAGATCTGCCCTCACAAGAAAAATGTTGCACAACTCTCTTTCTTCATTGAATATATTTATGCCAGCAAAAGCACTTTTCCATGTTATCATTTCAATCTCAAAAAGACTGGCATGACAGCATATGTTTCTGACTCCATTTCCCCTAAATACACACAATTTAATTGCATACTCCTGTTCCAATAGTGTTTCCATTTCAAACAAATAACTGTTTTCATAAGCAATGTATAACAAGATCATTTAATCACATAACACACAAGAACCATAGCCATATAGCACCATCTTAGAGTTTTTGTTAGAACAAATGACAAAGCTTCATTCAACAAAAAGAATTTACTTCTGGGCTTCATGTTGCACCTCTAACATTAGTCTCATTATTTTTTGATTAGCCTCCATATATTTAAAGGTTCAACTCAACTCAGTCATATTTTTATATTTTAGTGGTATAATAAGATATCATAAGTAATCCAAATATAATAAAAAATAGAAAATTTATTACATTAAAATAAAATTATGAATATTTCAAATCTTAATTTTATTTTATTTTAGGTTGAAATTGTTATGGTTAACACTGTGCCAGTTTAGAAGTTATTGTGAGATTGAGGTAAGAATATCAAATGAAATTTTTTTTATAAACGAAGAGCTTTTTTTATAAATTTTTTCTTGATATAAAAACTTAAAGGAAGTGCTTTTTATTTATAAAATATTTTGTTTTTTAATTGATAATATTTTAAATAAAAAATTTAGAAGGAATTTTTCCTTTTCTAGTTTGTAACTCAAAGTTCCAACTTTTCTTGAATCTGTTTTTTTTTTTGAAATTACAACAAATTAAATGCAAAAACTGTAGCCAAAATTTTATTTATCCTGTAAATTTTAATAAAAAATGAAGTTAATTTATAAAAATTTTTCATAATTATCTTGAAATTACTTTATTATATTTTACATTTTAATATAATGAATTTATAACTGTTTTGTTATTTATATTTATATATAACCATAAATAGAGACATGTTACGGAGAATACTTTTGTGTTGAAAGCTATCATTTGGACATAAAACTAACAAAAAAGTTATTACTACTATTTTAAGTGTTATCACTAATTATTTTTTCCTAATAATTGTCAATCCTGTCAATAGCTTCTTACACGGTATTTCATGCTTCATTAACTAGTAGTTTCAATTCAGCTGAAATAATCATCATCTCTTTTGTTTGTTAATGTATCTTTTATGTTTTTATTATTAAATATTGTTTTGTTACAATAAAATTAATATTAAAATAACACACATTTTTTCATTTGTACAGTAGAACCTCGATTATCCGCCCTAATTGGGGACTGGGGTTGGTCGGATAATTGAAAAGTCGGATAACCGAAAAGTATGAAAAAATCCATTATTAGTGTAATATATTATTATATCCCATGTAATTAGTATATTAGTATATCGCTATTAACCTACTTTGCGTTGAAATTTTCATCGATGTTAAGCCTAACAAAAATTTTTTAAAATAATAATCGTCGCTATTGTATCGTTAAAAATTAGAAAATTAAGCTTCGTTTAAATACTGGCTCCCTTTCATGGTCGAATGAGTGTTGCCAGCTAAAACACGTAAAAATAATATTAAAGTAGCCAAGACATAGCCAAATATTGTATCGCCACATCACTAGCGGACATTTGAAATTTGCCGACTAGGACGGTCGGTTAACCGAGGGGTCGGTTGATCGGGGGTCGGATAATCGAGGTTCTACTGTATTTACTTATTTTTTATTATATGGTCATATATCATATAATCATTATCAGGAATTACATCATTATTTTATTTATTTTTTCAACAAAATAAATTCTTCTATAGTACTCTTATCTGTACAATCTTATCTTAATCTGTACAATTGTTATTCTATGACTACTATGGTTACTTTTTTAAAATAAATTTTAACAGATGAATTTATAGTTTTTGAAATATCCCTTAGAAAATTATTTCAGTAACATTAATACAAATAGTCAATATTTTATTTTTAAAAAAATGTTAATTAACTAGGAGAAAATTATAAATATGAAAAACTTTCTATAATAATCTTCCATGAATATACATATAATTATGGCAAATTACAAGATTTATTAAAATTTTAATGAAAAATTTTTCATTCATCAATCAATCAAATTTTTCATTCAATCAATAATTTTTCATACTATCTATTTTATTTTATCAAATAAGTATGAAAAATTAAACAACTTTTATATATCAATATACAGTAAATCTACATTTGTAACATGTATAATAAAAAACCAAAATGCTGTCGGAAAATGGAAATTGTAATTACAGAATATGTTGCAGTATTTTTATATAACAGTATACATATTTCTTCAAATTATTTATTATCTATAAGTTGTAATCAAATTATTATTAAGGTCTTTTTTATTTAATTAACAGCTTTTTAATTTACTTTATTGTTTCTAGCACTTATTTATTAAACTTATATTGAAAGAGTTTATTAATATAGTGGGAAATAATTTCTAAATGTTTTCTAGTATCATATATAATTTCCTGATTACATTATTTCAATTTTAGTATTTGCCTGTATATAAACCTAATGAACTTGAGAAAAGGAATCCTAGGCTATTTGCTCAGAATGTGAAGCTTTGCATGGCTCAGTAAGTAGTAATAAATTTTATTATTTCATATATTAGAATTTATAATTTTACCTTCTTATATGCTATACAATATAACATAGATGAGATGTGGTGATCAGTGAAATTTTGACCCTTCCAGTTTTTTACATTTAAATTTTTTAAAAACTTACCCTATCCTCAAAATTAACATTGTCTTTTTATAATAAATAATAATATAAAAATTAATTTTTAATAATAATCTCATAACAGATAGGATATTATTATTTAAATATATTATAGTATAATTGAAAATGATTATACTTTCTCTCCTGGTCTCATTAACCTCCTGTTTGGGTGCCAGCAAAGTTGTGAAACAGTCTTTGCCAACTTTTTTGATGCATAAATTATATTTTCTTTAAAACATACTTGATTCTTGTAGTAAGAAAATATTTTCAAATTTTTGTTAATTGATATAATTCATAATATATTAATGAACACTTTCTGTAATTTTTTAAAATATATTAATGGCTTTAAAATTTATCTTCATCTTAAAATAAATAAATAAATAAATAAAAATAATTCAAATATTATCAGGATTATAAATAACAGGAAATGCTTTTTGCTTAAAGAAAATTAATCTATATTTATTATTTTAGATATCTAAGTTATAATATTTTTGATCCAAGTTGTGCAATATTCAGCACATTAAAGTAAAAAGAATGAAAAACTGTAAGAATCAAACATACAAATTTAAAATATAGACTATTTCCATGTTAAAAAAAATTTAAACCAACAAATGTATAGAACATGTTAGAAATATAAACATGTACAAAATATATTTATATTTATAGCATGTTCTGTAGGTTTCTTAGATCTAAGTTTTCTGATGTTGAAACATTTTATAATTTTAAATGTATACGACTCTCAATTTTGCATTCTGTTTATTTTTAATGTGCTGAATAGATTAAAGTTGATTTTTAGGAAGTAAGTAGTTCATTTTATTTATTTTCAAAGATACTAAGTTTCATTTATATTTAGGTATTACAATAAATATATAATTCTGAAAGTGTGTAATTGTTTTTAATTAATTGTGCATAATTTCTATCAAGAACAAAGCTTTTATACTTGATTATGCTATTTATTTAAGTTTGTTAATTAACAGTCATGGTTTATATTTCTGTAAATGAGGAGCTATGCAAAATCATCCAGACCAATGAATCTAATAAGAGCCATTACTTGTATCAGACTCATGTGCCTCATAATTGTGGTATAATATTCTATGTAAATGAGTATAGATTATGGCTGTCACTTAAAAGCCCAAGTCTTTAACAAATCTATTAGTCTATTTGTTTGTTTTTTTTTTAACTTTTTATTAACATTATTTAATATTTCACTTCTGAAATTTAAATATTTTTGGAAAATATTGCTTAAATTTTATTTTAAAAGTTTTTAATAAATTTAAATTATACTTGGCATGATGTCACATGTCACTTTCATTGTTTAATAGTGAATTCAAGTGTTCAAAATAATTTGTTTGTTCATAAAGTTGGATCTGAAACTGAAGCCTGATTTTGTTGATTCAAAAATATTTATTAATTATTGCTGACTTTTTGATATTTATATTATTTTGGTTACTCATTAAATAAGGATCCCATGGACAGCCAAGAAAACCAACACAGAAATATTAAGGCTAGTGAACAAACAAACAGAAATAATAGATGCCATCAAGAAAAGGAAACTGGAATATTTTGGCCACATGAGAAACGAAAAATATCATCTATTGCAAATAATAATTCAAGGTAAAGTCGATGGTAAACGCAGCCCAGGCAGAAGAAGAACATCCTGGCTCAAAAATTTACAACAATGGTATGAAATTAGTACCGGATCACTATTCAAATCAACTAAAGACAAATTCAAAATCATGCGACTGGTTGCCAACATTCTTGGGGGACAGGGCACATAAAGAACTCATTAAAATTATAGCAACATTAATAAATTGTGAAAATGATGAACTCAATGAGATTACAAGCAGAATTATTTTATTTTTTATATTAATATATAATAATTTAATAATTGGATAATAATTTGTTATTATTCAACTATTACATAATTACAATTCTAGAATTTAATTAGCTATTATCTATTAAAATTAAAATTTTTTGATTAAGGCAAATAATATATTTTGTTTAAATCTATTAGATAATTAAATGTCAATTTAATTTTTTTTAAATTATAACTAACAATATGATTTTTATAAATAACTATTTCAGAGCTTTAGGTGTTCCTGTGTCCTATTACACATTTGATGATCTCAAATTTATAAAATGGAATGGTGATAATAAAATACCTCAGACACCTGCTTTGGTAAAATTAGTGAAATATAGACATCAACATGGGTAAGATACAATCTTGACAATCATGTATTGTTTAAATTCTTCACAATGGAGGATTTTCACATGCCAAGCTTATCTATTTTAAAAATGAATACTTAGATTTAGAAATCACTTACAAAATATATGAGTAAACCAAAAAAAGTAAATTAAAAAAAAATTAAATTATTTATGAACTTTTAGTGTTGGCCTGTTTGTTACATTCAAAATATGTAATTTAATTTTTATTAAAATTATTCACTTTATATTTATTATTTTTATTTTTAAAATTTTCAAATTAACTATTATATTAGTAAGGATTTTAGGCATAATGATTGTTTTGTATTGCAACTTCACACAAAGCTGTTCAGAAAGAGTTGCTCAAACTTTTTAAAATGCATTTTTTATTGTGTTTAGAATTTGTTTTCTATAATGCATATTCATGATACTTGGCATGTTATTTTTGTCCAGAAATTTATATTTATGTTTAATGGAAGATTTTAATTTTCCATAAAAAATCATTAATGATTAACTCATTTTTGGAATACTACATAATTTATTATTTTTTATTTGATAATTTTATAGTGGATGTAACACACAAAACTTAAAACTTGCTATACAGGACAATATCAATTATTGATATGTTGAATAATGTTAAACATTCCATGTATAAGATATTTTTGAAATGATTTGGCATGTCGTCTTCCAGTAAAATTTTCTACTGGTACTATTTATTTTCATTTATTAAGACTGTCCTTCAAAATATGTATTAATTTATACATATTGCAAAATGTATAAATAAAAATTTCTAGTTCAAAACAAAGTTTTTAATTGTTTCTATAGCTTCTTGTTCTATCATTTTTGATATTTTGATTTAGCTTAAATTTGCTTTTATTACAAAGTTATCATACAGGAACTTTACAAGCAAATAGTAAAAAATAGACTTTATTGATTACAGAATATACATTTCAAGTGTTACACCTCTCATCAGTTCTGACTTATAATCTACTGGTATTTGTAAGTCAGAAATGAGAAGTGTAAAACCCAAAGTGCATATTCTGCAATCAATAAAATCGATTTTCTACCATTCATCTGTAAAGTTCCTGTATGATAACTTCATAATAAAAGCAAATTTATGCTAAATCAAAATATAAAGTTTTTAATTGTTAGTTTCTAACTTTATACTTATTTATACTAATTAAAAGTACATATACCCTGGACCTAATAAATACTACAAATCAATCAAGATTCTTATTGGTTCAGATTGCTTAATATCTTATCAGGTTACATTTAGTCTAATTAATTAATAAGAATAAGCTGTATTGTTTGATTAGTGACTAATTAAAATTTATTAATTAATGAAAAAGTTGAAATGTATTGTATGTTGGTCATTTAACTTGATGATTTCATCTTTTTCTTAATTTGATTTTTGAAATAATTAAAAAGTAAACTATTGTTAAGTTTGAAAATCGTAGTTGAGAAACAAATATATAAATATATAATAATAATAATAACAAGAATGTATAAATATACAGGGGATGCCAAAAAACATGCGTACATATTTTAAGAGATGATATCTATGTATTACTTTTTAAAGTTGAATTGAATTATTGTAGTAATGTGTAGTATGATGATTGCTTGCTTAAAAATGGCATTAATCAAATTAATTCTAGTATTGCCATATGATAGGAAAGACAGTCAAAGAAAATAATGAGAGCACAGTTATCATTCAAAAAGCATAAGACCATTTCAAAGTAGTATTTGAAATTTGAGAACACTGGAAATTTGATGATAATGGAGACATGAGTATGCAACAGAACCTCCAACATACCTAACAATTGCATGCATTTATGATAAGTTTGAGATGCATGATAAGTCTGAGATGCTGTTTGAGATATACACAAAGGAAGATCAGGTCTTGCACAACAAGTCTTTCTTCTACTATTGTATTGAAACAGTTTACAATCTTGCCACAGAAGTCTATCAAACAATCTACATATTAGACAGGAGTTAGCAGAACAAGCATACAATGCATTCTTAAAATAGCAAAATGGAAAGTTTTTATCCCAAGATTATTACATGAGCTGAATGAAGACAATTCTGATTGAAGGGTACAGTATTGTGAGTGGTTCTAAAACATGGTATGAGAGGATCCTCCATACCCCATTTTAAAACTATTTCACACAGTTTAAATCGGGGGTTGCCAAACTATGAGCTGACCTTGCTGGCTGGATCTGGTCTGTGGAGTCAGCTCATCTGGCCCTCTGCAACACTGTACCACAAATGAGCTAAAATATAATTATTTATGTAGAAATATCATAGATTGTAGATAAATTTATTTTAATTTTTCAGCATAGTAATTGTAAGTAAAAATACCAGAAGTGGCCCAATTAGATTTTTGCATCTGACAGTAATATAATTTTTAGGAAAGCCAGTGAAATAAAAAATTTGTCAATTTTTTGCATCTTTGGATATCAGAGCACTTTTTGTGCAAGTACCTGCAATGAAGTTTCTAACAAAAGCAATTACCAGCTTGCTGTAACGATTGTGTTTGTGTATTGGTAAATAAATATTGGTTGTCCTAATTTTGTGTAATCAGTGTACTGTATTGAACAAAATAGTTATGGAGCCTGTGCTTGTTATTATCTCAGTTATATGGCCCACTGTGAATAAAGTTTGGTGACTCCTGGTTTAAATTAAGCAAAATAATTGTGTGTGTTGGGATCCATAAAATCCACATATTCATGTGGAAAAAAGTTGATTTATTGGGTCTCAATGTCTAATGTGGACTGTCATTAAGGAGACTAATTGGGCCATTCTTTTTTGAAGGTACTAGTAATGGTCTTCAAAAAAGAATGGTAAACATCCATTTTACCTGCAATTTACACACTTTTTGGGAATGATCAATTTTACTTCTGACAAAATGGCACCCATAGCACTTCCGCTAAGAGGTGAGAGCTTACCTCAATAGTTATGTCATTTTTTTTATTGTTTAATTAAATGCACTGTATAATTTTTGATTTTTCTGTTCTAAGAATTTTAAAATTAAGTTTGTTTCAAAATTATCCAGTTTTATATATTTTGTTTAATTTATCACTTAATTAATACCCAGCTAGATGCTACTTAATTTCCACAACAATACCTTATCTCACTGAGAAATACTTATTAATTGTAACAAATATTTTCAACCTGTTTTATAGGCCCTCCTCAGGTTTTTTAAAAATCCATGGAATATTGATAACTGTTCTTTTTGAATAGAACAGTTAAGAACACATTTAAAATACAAAATTCTTTGGAATAATGAGTTATTTGAATCCAAAGGATAAATTACAATAATATATATACAATTTAAAATAAGAAAATAATAAAAATTTGTGTGTCATATTAAAATGTTTAAAAATCTTTCAAGAAAGCACTCACCATTTATAACCTTCATAGGAATGAAAAAATAAAGTTAAAAAAGGAGAGCAGGTTGAAGTATACAAAATCCCATATAAAAATGAACACTTGGGTTTGGAGAAAGAATACCTAGGGGTCACAAACAGAAACCTTAATAAACGTCTTAAAGAACACACGTATAACATTGAGAAAGAGCATTATTGTGCAGATTTGTCTAGATTGGTGCAAAGCAAAGGATCAATGGTAGAATGGATGGAAGCTAGCATTATAAAACTGCTACACTCACCAACATTAGTGATGAATTTGGAAAACTGAAATCTATAGAAGTAAGCTTATGGGCATATGTAAACTATAAGGATGCCTTAGTATTACCCACAGTGTGGAAATATATAATTGAAAAAACTTATTGGAGAATAGCGCATAATATCCATATAATCAACAAATGATATTATAAATGTAATTTTCTTTTTCTTCTTTTTATCTTATTATATTTTATTTTAAATTGTGTATATATTACTGTAATTTATTCTTTGGATTAAAATAACTCATTATTTCAAAGAATTTTGTATTTTAAATGTGTTTGTAACTGTTCTATTCAAAAAGAACAGTTATCAATATTCCATGGCTTTTTAAAAAACCTAAGATTGGCCTGTAGAACAGGTTGAAAACATTTGTTAAAATTAATAAATAATTCTCAGTAAGATAAGATGTTTAATTTATCATATAATATATATTTATTGGGCTGCAATTTTTAAATTTCAGTTTAATAACAGGCCCTGATTAACTATACAAACTTCTAATTTGCACTGGAAGTCATGTTATATCAATTCAAAAATTTTTCCTAGAATGGAGTTACATTGATGAACAGCATGACTGTTATTGTCAGGAAAAGTATGATGTACAGTGGCAAGACACTACTAATTTGAGATTAAAAGTATATATTTTAAATTAAATAAATTTAAAACATGATTAAAACTTGCAGCCTGGTATTATTACAATGTCACAATAATTTTTGCTCATACGGAAATAATTTTTCTTTTTATATTTTTTAGTAAAAATATAAAATAAAAAATATAAAAAGAAAAATTATTTCCTTAGTTTTTTCATAGCTATATAAGAATATTTTGATTACCTTATACAAACAATAAAAAAATTATATTTCTTTAATAGAAAATATTAAAACAAATGGTTTTAACTTTGATAGATTAAATATTAATATTTGTTTATAAGTGTGCAAAAATTATATTATTTAGTATTCATGATCAACAAATGCTTAGTTTTACTAATGTATATTAAAAACTTTAGTAAAAATCAATATTACTGTATTATTGTTTTATTATTATGAATTAATGAAAATTAACATTTTAAAAAATATTAAGTTTTGTCCTTTATTTTGAGCAGATTGAAATTCACAGATATTGGAAATGAAGTTAAAAAACTTCAGTTAAAGTTAAAAGATGAAAACAGAATTTGTACACTTCAAGAATTTTCTCATTTCCTAGAAAGCTCTTCATCAGATACATTAAGAGATATATTTGATGTCATGGATCAAGTAAGTAATTGATTTATATTATTTTAATAATTATAATATAGCGACATAATTTTTTATTAATATATAAAGCATAAAATTAATCATTTTTGAAAATCTTTATGAAGATTCGGGATAACATTCTTTAAATTTTTAATTTTATATCTTATATTGAAACACTAAAAAATATTATAGTAAAACCTGCAAAAGCTGGAACTTATGGAACTATCTTGTTTTTTCATATCATATAGGTTTTTTTATTGACAGGATTTAGCCTTATCAATTTTTTTCTACTTCTCATCTACAAATGCCTTGAAAATGTTCCTTTTATGAGATTGTGTAAAAAAATAAAAAATTTTTTTATTTACATATATTTATTCAAATTGCATTTATAACAGATGTCTGCACATATTATAAAGATTTCATGTAAGTGTGTATCATAAAAATCTGCACAAATTTCAAAATTATTTAAAATTCATTATTTATTTTAATTTAAGTTTTTTTATATTTGTAACCACCAAAAGGGGGTTTGTAGGCAAATAAACAAATTTGTTATGTCCTTCCAATCCAACATTTCCCAGAGGTCAAAAACCACTTGGAAGACTCACAGATCTTTATTTATTTGCATTTTGGATCAGAGTTACAATCCAAGGTAACTGTGATTGATGTAAGATTGATATAAAATTATTGTAATTGTGATTGGTATAAGGTTATTAAGAAAAAAATCAAAATTGTCAGAGTACACTTATACTGAGGAAGGACTGGTACAAACTATGATCCAAAATGCAAATAAAGATCTGTAAATTAAAATAGTGCTTCGAGCAGTTCTTGACCTCTGGTGTACATCGGATTGGAAGGACATAACAAATTTGTTTATTTGCCTACAAACCTCTTTTTGGTGGTTACAAAAATAAGAAATTGTATTCGGCAAATATTGCTGATATTAGCTTTATTTTTTTTTATGTGGAAGAAGTGATTTACATATATAAGTTAATGATCAGATGAGATAATTTGGGCCATAAGCTACCATAATTTGAACTTTAATCTTAATCCATTCCATTAACTTCTGTAGATGATTAGGTTTAAAGTTGCAAAGTTTGGTCTTGATCCTTTGTGGATCCATCTTTCTATCAGTGTCAGTTACACAAGATGTATCTTTCTATCAGTTACACAAGATGTCATCTTTCTATCAGTCTCAGTTACACAAGATGTATCTTTCTATCAGTTACACAAGATGTCATCTTTCTATCAGTCTCAGTTACACAAGATGTATCTTGTGTATCTGAGACTGATTGAGAAATTTTAGTACCAACTGAAACAAAAAATTTATGAAAATGGTTAGAAAGATGGATCCACAAAGGAGTTGGAGGACAGGATCAAGACCAAACTTTGCAACTTTAAAGCTAATTACCTACAGAAGTTAATGGAATGGATTAAGATTAAATGTATCAAATTCCATATTGGTCCAACTTGGCAACTATGTTATGAGCCTAATAGGCTGTGATCATGTCTGGTCAGATAACAGCCTTGATCAGTAATATTTTTTAGTCAGGGTACTAGCCTCTCATGAATGAATTCATTGCATTACACTTGAGTTTTGGTTTTCTTTATCTTTCCAAATTCTTTCAGAACCTTTATTTTTCTGAAAACTTTTATATAAAGACTATGCAGATGGCTGGATGATCAAGCAGTTAAGATGGCAGCCTATCACTCTAGGGCACCTTGGATTGAATTTGGATGGATCAAAATAACTCCAGAAATTTTCTGGGGTGGTAGATATATTGGATCCCATTCCTCACTACTTAATTGCCCTATTGTGAGCCTAACCAAACCCATAGTAGGCTTTCTAAAAAGACCCTCTTAGTGCCCACTGGAAAGAAAGAATTAAAAAAAAGTGGCTCAGACTTTTATATTAATTGGTTTTCTTTACCATATTCATCAGTGTTTTCTTTAGTTTGTGAGTCCCAAAAATTATATTAAGGTTTATATTGTGACCTTTTGGGTTTACACCTCTTTAGTGTCCTGTCAGGATTGACACCACCGTGTTTATCATAACACGGAAGCCAAGACAGCAATTACTACGTCACACCATCGCGCAAGCAGTCCCGTAAGTGGACAGACGGATTTGTAATGTCAACCGATCGAGAGACAGCATGTGGAAGTGACTTGAACTACAATTAACACTTAACAAGGATTTAATTTAAAATAAATTGGATAAGATACAGAGGTTCTAAAGTTTGGTTGCAGAGAGAGAGAGAGTTCACATAATGAGCACAAGTTGCATAAATACCTGGTGATAAAAGGTGATCTCCCAATGGAGCTCTCGTTGATTGAGAATAGTTCCGATGGTGATTAGTTCCACTATAATATCCACTAGCACAATGTATCCAATGGCACAAGGTATCCAAATGGGCACTGGTCGACGATATTCCTGGAGTAATCGGTGCAGATTTCCTTTGACAGAGGGACAGACGACTGACTTTTTTCGGCTGTCTCTGGCGATATTCATGGATGATATCGGCCATCCAGAAGATCACGAGAAAGTGTCATGCTGCCTTTGAGAAAATGTAATGGGAGACTTTCTCAGGTAGCTACAAACAACAATTGTTATGTAACTCAAACAATATTAATATTAAAATCTAGTTCGAATATAGGAATTTCTGCTACCTCACAATATCATCAATTTCATGTAAAAAATTAAAGCTCAAAATAATGCAAAAGAAAATGAAAGACTGAGAACAATTTTTTTTACATCTAATAAAAAATGATTTATTTTCTGATAAATAGCACTGTGCTGAAGCAGAAATAGTCCACAAATTTCTGCTTTTGTGTCTATAGTTTCCCATATTTGGGTTGCAATAGCCCAATTTCTACCATTCTGTCAATGTCTCACAGGTTTTAGCTTTCAGAGAACATTTGTTAGGTTAATGTAATAATTGTTTTACTTAAAAATATTCAAATTTTCCATCATGGTTTCTGACCTATTCACGTTCTGGCTTTTACAATTTTTACTGCATTTAAAATTATTCTATCGATGAGTAATTATTAGTGATGTAACGAATATTCGGTTACTATTCGGTATTCGGCCTATTTTTCACTATTCGGCCGAATACCGAATACTTAAAAACAGGAGTAATAAATAACAAAAACACAGTAAATTAATCATTTTGGTATTTAGAGTTAATGTTGTAGAGTTAGTGTTGTTTATTTATATTTATTTATAACTTGTAACATGCACAAAATAAAAAAGAAAATAATATTAGTCACACGTATTCACAATTTATAATTACAAAGATCAGCACACGTACACATCTATGGTTGGAGAATCCTCGCACATCTGAAGGTCTGACCCTGCCTATCCTTCTTTTTAAGCGCTCGTCTTTGCTATTCCCTTTCTCTTTCCTCTATC